TAAATATTTAATCACTTACAATAAAAAAATAAAATCTAAAAAGTGTAATGATGAATTTTTTTTACTATATTTTATATTTATATATAGCTTATTTTATAAAATATAACTATATATGCCATATAATATTATAAAGATATAATCTTGTAAACTTTTTCATAAATAAAACCTATTAATTTTTTTTTCAATTTTAAAAGTTTAAAATATGTTTTTTTTTTTATATATGAAGAAAACTAAATTAGTTTATGGTTTAAAGATTTTTTTAACCAAGTAAGGGTTAAATTTTTGGGTTTTTTGGTATGGAGATTTTTTTTTAAATTAAATAAATATAAAAAATATTTTGATATTTTTTTTAGATAAAGATTGCTTCTTTTTTTCCTGTATAGGTAATTCATTAAAAATTAAATTTTATAATTTTTTTAAATAAAATATTTTTATTTATCTTTATGTCTTCTCTCCTCATGAGTCATAACCCTGAATAATGGCAGAGAAAAACAAAATTGAAAAACCTTTCAAAAATCAAGATTCCAGCCAAGACCCACTATTACAAGCTACTTTTTCAAGCTAAGAACTCAAGAAAGAAAAGCAAGGAACAATCAGAGAAACCAATAGGAGAAAAAGCTGCCCTATAGCACTCGACAGAATTGAAGAATTCACTCCACCAAACTTTTCCTTCACTTTTGACACCCAATTCAACACCTATTCTCAAGATTTCACACCCAAATTCGGATCTTTTAACTTAGTGCCATCAACGAAAAAAAGATTGGATGATATTGTTCTCTGTTTTTATTAGAGCTCAGAAAATAAAGAAGGTCATCAAGAAGACAAGCAGTAGGTAGGGGTTAGTGAAGAAAGAGTGGTTGGTATTAGCACATTGAGAAAGTCCATTGATGGGAGTAGAGAGAAGAAGCGAGAGAGTAGAGAATAATTTGATATTTATAATTTGATAAGAAGAAGCGAGAGAGTAGAGAGAAGAAGCGAGGGAGTAGAGAATAATTTGATATTTATATTTCAAAACAGTGCACGTTTTGTTAATAAAGAGAAATGAAAGTGTTTTCCTTAAAATAAAAAAAGAAAAACACTTTCCTCTCATAAAACCTTTTGTTTTCCTTTGACCAGAATTGAGTTTCCTTTGATTAATTTTCTTTATGTTCACCAAACATAGAAAAGTAGAGAAAATAGTTTTCAAGAATTTATTTTCTTGGAAACAAACAAGCATAAGTTAATTAGAATCTATAATTGAATTTAAAATAAATATAATTGACTGAATTTTACGATCAACCTTTTGATTTAAATCATAAAACTATTTTTAGTCAAAATTTATAAACTAACTTAAATCTAAATCCAAAAGTTATGCTAAAGACGGCATTTATAACGAAAAATAATAAAAAAACTAACTTAAATCAAGATATGAAGTTTACGCCAAACACCACGTAAATAAGTGCGTGTTTCCACTAACCTATTGCAAAATTGGAAACGAAGATTAATTACTACAATTCTCTCCAAGACTGGAAGGTAATATTTCGTAGAAGAAAGAGAAGCGCGAAACAGACAATGGCGGCAACCGATCCACAAAGGCAACTCCTAACCCTAATTCGTGACTTTGCTTCCGAGAAATCACAAGGAGGTGAGTGCCTCTACCCCTGTACTTTTCCTCGTTTAGTTTCGGAGAAAATGAAGGGAACAGAAATTAAATCTCACAGAATCCTCCTTTCATCTCATTCAAAACCATATTGCCTTGGGTACCGTTAATTGGAAGGAATAAGTAACCAGGGATTCATATGCTGACTTCCTACTTTCTTGGTTACCAAACACAGGCTTCTCGAGAAAATGCGGGAAAATAGTGGAAAATCTATCGATTGAGAGGCAAATATTATATGTTTTGTTATTTTATTTTGTTTTATAATTTTTCTCCGGTGTTGTAAATTTGTGTAGAGAGAAGAGTGGTTGGGCTAAAGAACCGAATAGTAGAGCTTGGATGTCAATTGGATGCGGCAAATGCAGAGATGGAAGAGGTGAAGCGTTTCAAAGAAACCACTGAGCTAGAGCTTAGAGGCTACGAATTTCAATTGGCTTTCAACGACGTATCTATTCAGACCCTAGAGGTTTGTTTTATTTATACTGCTTTACTTCAGTTTGAATTGTTTTTCTTCTTCTTCTTAAATTAAGATCGTCTTTAATACTTCCAGGCAAGGATTTCTCTGATTCAAGATGAAATATCTTCGGTTGGATCTGAAGTAGAGGGTCTTAAGGTAGTGATTATTGCGTGTTGCTTTCCTCTCCTTTTCTTCTTATTTTGGATTAAGTGAGATTACTTGCGCTTTTTCAGTCTTTTTTTTTCTGTTTCTGATTCTTGTTCACCTAATTGTATGGGACACTGGGCTTGGGCGCTATGAAGGATGAAGAAGGGGCTTCACGGTAAAGATTGCTATTTATTTTACTTAGTATTCTGCTACTTCTGATCACATGACCCATTGCCTCATCGAAATTGATTTAAGCAGTCGTATTAATTGCTGCTGTTTCTTTAACGTGTTTTTGTTGTTCATGTAGAGATGAGTTTATCCGCCAGATGTTTGAGCTCAATACTAAGATAAGGTTAGTCGCACTTACTGGGACATGTGTAAATTTGATTGGGAATTTGTGTTTGCATTAACAGATTGTACATGTAGCTTCCCGGTGTACAGTTGCATTCGTCTTTGGTTAATTTCATGTTTATTTGGAGACGTTTCCTCTTGAAAAATAAATTGCTGTGTGTGTGAGTGCATATGATATATGTTAATTGGTTTGATCTAGTTGCTAAACTGTAGAGAAAGGGATTAAAAAAACATACATCGTTGTACCTTATTGATTTGGTCAGATCAATCCCTCTACATGAAAAATGCTATAATTGACCCGTCTATCACTATGGATGGTAGCTCATTAAATCTTTTTGTTAGAGATCCTTGTTAGGTTGACTGGTTGAATTTGTTGCTCAAGCCATATTATTGGTTGACACGGTCAACTGCTGTGGATCTAGCAGTGGAATGGTTCAATTGTGTTGTTGTGATCGGGGACTAGAGGAAGGCGTTGAGGTTGTAACAGTGAAATTGACATGATGTGGATTTGTGACTAATCTAAGCGAGCATTTGTGTAGTTGAGAGTAGTAGATTGATTTGGGTATACAACTTAGATGTGGCAGTGGTGGTTCTTCATGTGGAAGAGAAACTGAGTTGGTTTGAGCTTGTGGTAGTGGTGTTTTACTTGGGTTTGTTTGTGGTGGATCCAGGTTGTAATTTTATGATGAGTTTTTTATTTAGTTAGGAAGTTGGTGTTGTCTTGATAAAATAAGTTGTTGGTTTTTCTTAATTCTTTAGTTTTAGTTTTTAACAGGTTTAATTTTTTTTAAGATCACAACCTTTCTATTAGTTCAGTAATTTTTACATTCAACAAATATGTTACTATTTTTTTTTATCCCCCTAGTTTTTTCATGTGTTTCCTTTCAATTTCTCAAAATTAGAGAATTAGGTCTAAGTGGGACCAGGTGGACATTTGTTAGCTACTCATTAGCTATCATTGGGTCAATCGATGTTGTTTTGTCAATCAATGAGGGATCATTTACATCCTTTTTTCTTGTAAAAGCATTGCTATGACCAGATCAATTTGGTATTACAAGGACATATGATAATTTTAAGTTGTAAAGAGGAAAGTAATTATACTGGACTAAAAGCCCATATAGTATCTGTTCTGATTACTTGTGTGGTGGCTTGGGGTGATATGGTTATCTTGGGCAGTGAAGGATACATGAACCATTAAACTCGATCATTGTATCAGAAAACTTATCTTAGTTTAGATTCCATTTTATTTGTCTCCTGTTAAGCCTTACAGGGAGAACCAAAGTTTCGTTCATTGTCCATCATGCTGATATTTCTTTAATAATTAATTTTCTTTTCCCTTTCCTTCCTAATATTCCTACTTGCTAATATTGTTTTTTTTTAACCTCTCTTAGGATCTTAATGTTTATTATTAAAATGAATCATACTGTCAAAACAGACATCACACACTTGTGAAAAACTTATTGGGGTCCGGGGGGGTTGATAATGACCTTACTTCAGGCAACGAGTCACGGTTTTGGGTTCTTGAACCTTCCCCTAGCTTGTAAGTTTGGGATGTACTAGTTGTTAGAATTGTTGCCATTAATATGCAACAATTATGAAAGAAGCATTTGCAACCTATTTTAAAAAAGAGGGATGCCATTGTCAAAAGGATACAATATTATGTGGGTAATTATCAAATAAGTTGCACAAATCATTGACAAAATGGTTGTAACCTATGTGCTACCACTATTAGTATCATAATTTATTGTCAAATTGTCTTACCTTTGATTTGGGGGGGGGTTGATAATGACCTTACTTCAGGCAACGGGTCACGGTTTTGGGTTCTTGAACCTTCCCCCAGCTTGTAAGTTTGGGATGTACTAGTTGTTAGAATTGTTGCCATTAATATGCAGCAATTATGAAAGAAGCATTTGCGGCCTATTTTAAAAAGGAGGGATGCCATTGTCAAAAGAATACAATATTGTGTGGGTAATTATCAAATAAATTGCACCAATCATTGACAAAATGGTTGTAACCTATGTGCTACCACTATTAGTGTCATAATTTATTGTCAAATTGTCTTACCTTTGATGTCTATTAATAAATGCATTATTTGAGAGAGAAAGTGAGGGAGGGAGTGAGAGTAGGAGGAAAAGAGAGGAGAGAAAGAGGATTGGCTACTAAGGCAACAACCCTGCTGCTTTATGCAGTAGTGTGTAAGAACAAAGAGAATTGAGTTGAGTGAAGTGATCCTCCTCATTCATGTGTTGTAACCCTTTTTATCTATCTCTAATAATATTGGCTCCTCCCGTAGATATAGGTGGTTTGCGAAACCACATTAAATATTATGTTAATGTGCTTGGTCTTCAATGAGCAATTATCAGAACATCGCCGATCGGAATTCTCAACAATTGGTATCAAAACATTTAGTTTAAAGTGGTGTTTGATCTTTACTAAAAAATAAAAGTTGTCAAAATTGTGTGTTGACCATACCACCATGTAGAGGAAAAAGAGACGAGCACATTGGTGAAAATGGTGAAAAATTATGATGCGGTACATGGTCGTACACACCCAGATGCGCTGATGAGGAGGCTGCCCACGGGCGTAGGCACGCCCCACGTATTTTTTTCGCTCAGATGGGCTGACTTGATTTGAATACCTGATGACCCGACCCACGTGATTAACTAGGATAGGGATGGCATCATCATGGTGTTAGCATGCAAGATTGGCATGCCATGTCAGCAACCTGTCGTTTGACATGTCAGCACAGTGGGACCTACTTGCCACGTCATTAGCTGCGAGTTAAGTTGAGCCAAGCCGCGAGCCGAGGTATTGGATCCAATATGGTTGATCCTATGTGCAACCGAATCTGATATTGAATCTGGGCCACTTATTAAGCTAGAATTGTTTTGATCAAATCTTAGCTATTTGAAATGCGATTTGGATGATTTTAGACTTGTTTCGAGCTAATTTAATCGTTTCGGATGCAATGGTACGGTTCGATTATTGAGATTTTGATCAAAAGTGATGGTGGTGAATTATTAAAAGAGATTGTCTTATCAGGAGGCATTTGAAGGTCATCATGGTAGTCGATGAAGATGAATAAGAAATTACACATGTTTGTCCTATTATATGTGCTGAACTGCTAAGTGGATTGGTTGCCTTGAGGGGAGGCAAAATTGTGACATTCTGAACACCCGATCATGTGGACAATTAGAGGTGTAGAGTGAAAATTAATGAAGATCAATCTTGACGAATTTAAGCACTTGTCTCGCCAGATATTGAGAAATCAGGTATAAAACTAAGATATTGTAGATCACTTGTAAAGGAAAGCTACAACAAAGCTAGCGAATGACTGTATATACAGAAAGACAATACGATAGATAGATATGGCTTAAGAAGTTCTGGCTAAAAGATCGGGTTTTAAGTGGGACCAATGTGACCCTTCTAGTTTTTCCTGGGAACTTACTTAGTTGAAGGATTATTCATACGATATTATTTTTGTATATGTAATATTTTGTAATAAAACTGTTGAAGACTAGCAAGATGACGACATAAAGGAACAGTTGGGTTCTGTATGTTTAAAGATCTAATAAAGTAGTGATTTCTAAAAAGAAGTTAGATTCGGTGACTGTAATTTTTGAGGGGAGAATTGATAAAGACTCTGATAATGGAAGAGAAATACAGTAAGAGCATAAAGATTGACACCTTATTTCGACTTGAATATATGTTGTGACAAGATTAGTTGCTGTCAAACATAAGCAAGGAATAGGGAGATGGAGGACAAAAATTGCACGAAGGCACACGAAGATTGTGCAGGAGTACTCGTAGGATCTAATGAGGTACTGTAATGAGATAACAGGTGCAAGGAAAAGAATTGTTCCCAGATGAAGCTTAAAACAGAGACCGTGTAGAAGTTGTACAACATGAAGTCTCTTGTGCTCTTGTTGAAGGCAACATGCGAAGACCTTTTCAATGTATGCAAGGATGGAAAGATGAGTTGTTGTAGAGACATCTAATTGAGGGGGTGCAAATGCCTGTGATAAAAGGCGACTGTCTATGAAAGACAAAGACACCAAAAGAGAGTTAGTGTGGGTGGAGCTATTAAGCAAAAAGGCGTAGAAGCTCCAAACATAGAAACTGAAATGGAGGATTGCGAGGAGTGTACCGCAACTCTTTTTTTCTATGTGATCAGTGATAGTGATCTCTACCATAGTTTATATGGTGATAGAGAATTTTTGAGCCATTTTGAAGCATCTCAATTGAAGAAGAATGCGATCGCCTATGAAAAGCAAAGGCACCTTGGAGAGGTGTGCGAGCCATAATATGAGCCCATGTTTAGATCACCCTCTAACAACGAACGAAGACACCTTATAAAAGGTGTGAAGGCCATGATTTGAGCTTAAGTTCAGAACCCCCCAGAGCTGATTTGATGACTAGATGTGAGTGGACAGGTATATGGATAACCAATGAAGTGGTTATGATAAGTATAAAAACAAATGCAAGATTGATTTTCATGGATATTGCCTCATATTAAAGATCAATGAGCTAGAAAACATTTACCTTGGATAATAAGTGGATGATTTGTGGAGCATTAAGACGCGATTGTTATGTAGAAGCAGAGGGCATACACAGGTTCTTAGAACAAGTTGATTTTTATCAAGATGGTGAGCTCGGTAATGACATCGTAACAATCAGAGGATAAAGACATATGGATCAACCTTTAATGGTTGCCCCCATGATTAAAGGTGGAGAGCTACCTGAATTTTTAGGACTAAGAGCGAGAGACTCACAGAGAAATAAAGTGTGGTTTATAGGGTGGAACAAAGGGTGGATGCCACTCCTGGATGAGTAGACTCTTGAAAGAGTGGTGAGCTCATGATCACATTAAAATATTCAAATAGTGACTATTGTACTTGGAAATAGAAATTTCTGTTTGAGAAGATATTGTAAATCTTGGTGTGAGGCTTGATAAATCATTCCGGGCCGAGCATGACTGATACGCTCGAAGGGAATGTTGTCCCAGAAACAAGCATTAACATTCTTCAGATAAGATATGGTAAATCATCTGATTGAAATTATCATTTGGAGTGAGCAAATGGGTGCTTGGGTGACTCTGGTGATTGAAAGGTTTGACAAGTACCTGTAAACTTGGTTGAAGACACTCTCAGGATGGTAAGCTTGGAAGAGCCGCGGGATGCAAGCTTATGCTGAAGAAGCAAGATGACAATTGCCCATATGAATGACAAAGGGGGTAATTGGTATCAGAGGAAAAAATTGTTGGGAATCCTAACCGGTGATATTCTGATAATTGCCTATTGAAGGCTAAATATATTAGCACAATATTTGACATGGTTTAACAAATTGCTTACATCTACGAGAGAGAAGTCAATATTATTAGAGATAAATAAAGAAAGGGTTACAACACACATGAAAAAGAAGGATCACTTTACTCAACTTAACTCCCTTTGTTTTTACACGCTACTGCACAAGGTAGCACGGCTACTGCCTTGGCAGCTATTTTTTTTTCTCTCCTCTCCTTTCCTCGTACTCTCACTCTCTCTCTCACACACACTTTTGCTCTCAAATAATACTTTTATTTATAGGTATCAATAACAAGACAACTTGACCATAAATTATGATACTAATAGTGACAACATATGGGTTGCAATCATTTTGTCAATGATTGGTACAACTTGTTTGATAATTACTCATCTATCATTATAGCCTTTTAACAATAGCATCCTTTTTTTTTAGAATAGATTGCAAATGCTTCTTTCATAATTAATACACATTAATAGCAACAATCCTAACAGAAGTTGTTGATTAGTAGATTGCAAATGCTTCTTTCATAATTAATGCACATTAATAGCAACAACTTCTGTTAGTTGTTGATTAACAATTTGTAATATAGGCTGAATTCTTTTGCAACCGTGTTTCCCAGCTAACATTGTGTAGGACAACTTGGTCCAATTTCACCTTTCATTACGAACCATTTGAACATCTATGAATAGAAAATGCCTGGCCATTGTGAGCTGCTTCATCTCTGTTTTGCTGCCAAAATTTATACTGGTTTGTGTAAGTTTTGATATTCATCACTACCTATTAGTTTTGCATTCAAGTCTTTTGAATTTGAAGCAAATTTTTCTTAGTCAAGGGTATGCTCGGGCTGCTTCTTGTTTGCTTTTTATAGAAATATCAAGGACTGGCATTATATACACGCATAAATCCCCCCTTTCATAATTGCATACAGCATGGATTTTTATGACTCAACCGCATTCCATCTGAATTACCCACGCTTTTATGACCTTTAACAACCTTATTAGCTTATCTTATGGTTTGAGTTTAAACCAATCTCTCTCTAAGTTCTTAAACTGTTGCATTCCTTGGATGCATGATTCTTTTAGCTTGGCCTTAAGGCTCGAGAACATCCCGCTGTCATTTTATTAAACAGAAAAGTAGAAAAGCAGGAAAAGAAAATCAAGAGCTTGTGCATTTCATGGTTTAATGCCAGTGCACCTTGTGAGAAAATGTGAAAGCAAATATATGGGTATCTTTAGAAGGCAATGCGGATATTAGAATTATTTTCTCAAATTAAATTTGAGGGAAAAAAAATTCAAAAGAGAAAAAAGAAGTGCTGGCATTTCAGATAAGCTGCAGAGAGGATGCTGTGTGAATGTAATATATAAATAGGTGTAGATTTTCTTCCTCATATCTCCTAACATTTTTGCTCATCTCAAACTATTGAAAATATAATTCTGATCTACAATTTTAACATGACTACCTATATGGGATATCCTTCATAATTGTTCCCTGTTCTCGATACAGGAAAGTTCACAGAACAGTTTGATCTATTTGCTTCGTTGTCCTCTCCATTTAAATGAATAATATGAATGTGATACTTTATATTTGAATGTACATTCTGGTAGTAGAGGAAAACTACTAATTTGTCAACTTATATGTTACTATAGGAAATTCCAAGCGGAAAAAGGACTCGAATCTCAGAAAAAGAGCAGCTTTGGAACTACAGCAGGTGATGCTCCTGTATAGAATATTTACAGCTCTAGCAGCTGAATCTGTTTCCATCTGTTAGTGTTTATATTTTTTTATGTTGATGTTAATTCATGAGTAATTTGAGTGGACTTCAACATCTTTTTTCACACAGTAAAATTTCTAAGCATCTTTGCCCATGGAAGCAGGCTTGCTGAACTGTACTGTATACTACCGGTGTGTTCTGGGAATGTTTGTTTTGTTTTTCAAAACTTTATGCTTGCTTTCATTTAAATATCATGTTCATCACAACAGATTATATAGACAACTGTTGTATCCATGAAAAAAAGGTCAGATAGGTACTTGAAAAATTCAAGGCAGTTGTATGCATTGTGGTTATTCAACCGCTATTGTCTTTTCCTTTTCCCTTCATGCATTCCTTAATGAGATATAGATTGGTACTTGTTGCTTTGGTTTCTATGTTGAGGGATTTCTGCCTTTATTTCATGAGCAGACTGCAAAGCTGAAAAGAAGGTAGTCACTGGTGTTGATCTAAGAGCTCTTAAGGATGTGCTTGCACATGTAGCTTCTCAAATAATTAAAGAGGAACAAGAATACCTAGCAGAGGAGAATATTCTAAAGCAGGTAAGAAGTTGGTTCAAGAGTTTTATACATGTTTTCTGTTGTTTATAGAAGAATTCTAGAGTGCCTCCTCAACAATTCTACCTACCTAAAAGTCGATGAAAGGTTTCTTTGAGAACAATTTTAGCTACCCGTTTCTTCGCAGGTCCAGGAGGAATATGTTGACCTTCAGAGGAAGGTTTCTCTGGTGGATGTGATAGTGAAAGAAACCGAACTATTGCAGGATTTAACAAGATATCCTTACAAACATCACATTGTGTGGAACTGGCTGTCTGTTCATGACTAACCATACTCTTTCTAGGAGAGAGATGAGTATCCAGGCAGTTAGTTAATGGTAAATGATATTGAGAGTAATGCCGAGACATATGAGCTGCCCATTAGAACAACTGACATGGAATTTCATCCTTCTAAAACTGCCATTTACAAAAATAGCTCTTAAAGATGTTTCTATAAGCTACTTATGAGCAGTTTTTCCAAGATGTTTCTAGAAGTTTTCTGAAGCTCATAACTCATTGATGTTAAATGGTGAGTTAATTTTATTTTTCTACCATCTCAACCATGAAAAAGAGCATTTATTTTTTTATTCTTACTTTTTTTACCAGTAAAGGGGGGAAAAACACCTGAAACTTTTTGTATACCAAAAGTAAAAGTGGACTGCGATGCTTTCCAGGAACATTTCTAGTAAAATATATGATGAATATGCACAAAATTTAAACATCTTTGACTGGAAACAAGCAGACTTCCGAGTTGGAACAGAATTGTGCTTCCCTTGGTGAGCAGTTGCAGGATAGATGCATATGTCCCATTTGTCGTGCAGATAATGTTGAGGCCCTGGGAGGCGTTCTTCAGGCAAACGAGGCAAATTGATTGTGAGTATTCTACTTGTTTTTGCTTCATCCTAACTATATACAAAATCTGCACTGAAATTTGGAAATTGCAGTTATTAGCATGTGTTACTATGTCGAATTTTTGATGGTCACAATTAGACTGGGAAGCTATTGTTCTATGTTCTATTGAAGCGTCTGATGGCCTCCGAAGTGGAGAGGTGTTCTCTGACTGTTTTTGGCATTTAGATTTTCATGGTAGACCTTTCCAGTATGTATCCTATAGTATTTCAATTTGTGAGTTAGATTTCTGCCTCTGGTCGTTCCTTATGACACATGATTAAAGGAAACAAATCATGTAGTTATTAACAGATGGTAGTCACTTTCATTTAATCAATTTTTACTTTCCAACGACTTCATCTAAAATTGCACTTTGAAACCTACTAAGTGAATTTCTTTTCTAAAAAGTAAAAAGTAAAAAAGATAACTAAAAACTGGGGCATTTTGGATCCCATTGACTAGAGCTTTAACTGTTGAGCTTTAACAGTTGAGTTTAATAACTTAGATTATGGATTTTATTGGGTTGAATTAATTTTTTATTTTATTATATGATATAAAATTTAAAAATTGATTTATTATATAAAGGGTAAAATTTAATAAGACCTTATGCTAAATAATGGAATTGAAAACAAAAAAAAAAAGATATAAAAGAAAGGCCCATTAATCAAGTTATGATTTTATTGGGTTGATTTTATTTTTTTATTTTACGAAGAAAATTATAAAAATTAATTTACCTAATATTAAAGAATAATTTTTTTTATAAAAAACTTATCTTAAATAATGGAATTAAAAAAAAAAAAACTAATATTAAAGAATAATTTTTTTTAAAAAAACTTATCTTAAATAATGGAATTTAAAAAAAAAAAAAACCAAAAGGTATTCTCTTCTATTAATACCTAGCCAACATGCTAAATTTACCTCTTCTTGGTTTATGAACTTTTAATTTTTTTATTTTAATATATGAAAAAACTAAAAATGATTTATTATTAATTTAATATTAAAAAATAAATTTTAATTAAAAAACCCATGCTTATTGATAGAATTAAAATAATAAAAAATACATATACCTGCTTTTCTAAAAAGACTAGATGTGGGGCTCTAGATAGTTCAGCATGCCTGACATGTATTTATTTAACTGTTAAGAAAAAAAATTATTTCAAGCAAATAATAAATATTGAAAAGTTAATAAAAAAATTAAGAAATATAGTTGTGTTTGGGTGTGTGGTAAATCCTAGTATTTAGGACTTATCTATTTTTATGTTTTAAAAATATTTTTTAAAAAATTTAATTTTTTTATTTTTTGCTTTAAATTATTTTTTAATTCTTAATCACCTTAATATTGAAATAAAAAATAATTTAAAAATAAAAAAATATTATTTTAATATATTTTCAAGTAAAAAGTATTTGAAAAAATTATTATTATTATTATTATATTTTTAAATATTTTTCTAGATTGAACACCACAATTAATTTTTTTTTAAAAAAGAAAGGCACAAGAAAGTACCGAAGCGTTGCCACTTCTACAATTTTTTTAACGACTTAAAACTTAAAAGCCGCCTAAAAATTAGGGCTCACTGTATTTGGTTTTTTAAATTTAATTTATACACTATTTCTACCTTCAAACATCTTACGGTCATCTTAAAAATATCTATGAGCTATTTTAATTTGTTTTTGTACCATTTCTAAAGATTAAATATCATCTAATTATTTACAAATATTGAATCAATTCAAAGGTTTTTAAAAATACATATTCTTTTCTCTCTTTCTCAACTCTCTCCCTTTACCATTTTCAATTTCTATGAGTGAAATATCTAGTTAAATAAATAATTTGAAACCCAACATATTAGGAAATATCCCAATCATAAATACCCATAATTCTAAAAAAAAAACTAAGCCTTTCCATTAGTTTTTATTGGCTTTTTTCTTTAATAAATTATTTAAAAAAAAAGAATAGGGAATTGACATTGAGAAATTAAAAAAAAAATGTTTAATTTATAGGTAATCAAATGTAAATTCTTCGAAAACAAGAGCAATGTGCAAGTTTGTAGTTGTTTAACTATATTTCTGCCTCATATTAATTAACCCTAATTTAACAAAAGGGCCGTTCTGCCTCATATTAATTAACCCTAATTTATTTTTAACAAAAGGGCCAGGCGTTAACAATAATTATCATATGACCTAAATCTTATTTGCTTATTGGATCCAGTTTATACATGTATATATATCCACCGTACTATTAGAAAATTAGCAAGTATAAATGAAAATATTAGAGAAAAAATTATGTCTGTATATTCTGATAACCTTTAATAATAGAATTTTTTATTTTTATACTTATCAGTACATATTGATAAAAAAATTTCATCAGTATATACCAAAGAAACAATAAAGGGTATTATAATGAGATTTAAAAATGTAAATCGTACAGCGTCATGATAGTTTTATCAACAAAATGATCAATGAAGTTACTGATAAAATAATTTTGTTTTAATGCCATCATTGATATTTAATTTATAAATTGAGCCCTTTTTTTATGCATTTTTTTCTGTAACAAACAACCACCCTATTCTTTTCCAATTTTAACATGGTTTAACATTTCATAACATATCTGGCGATCACAATACTCAATTTGTTAGCATATGTCTTCAGATTTAAATTTTATTAAGGATTTTTCACTTTAAACATGCAAATCTACCCTTTTTTTTTGTAGTGTATGTATTTTGTTTGGATACTTACTTATTTTATAGTTTTTCTCATACAAATTTATTATATGAATTTTTGATTTGTACATATTAGGGCTTGTTTTAGATTTTATAAAATTATATTTGTTTGTAAATTGATGACTTATGTTGAATTTTTGACTTGGGTATTTTATGATGAAATAAATAATGATTTATTTAACAAATCCATCTTATATTTTGTCAATTTTATTGTCGAGTTGAAATTTTTTTTATAATTATGTAGAAATTTGAATTTATGCAGATAATTGATAATGAATTAAAAGTGCTATTAAAATAGATCAAATAATTTGAGCTAAATCAATATTTTTGCAAATTATTTAGTTAATGTAGTAATTAATACATGTTGTCATCATTATTTTATATAGGTTTGATGTATGTAATAGATGTCATTCATAGATATATAGAAATTCACTACAAGGGTTGCAGAGGATAGATTAATTATTGTAATGAGGTTCATAGTTTTATTAATTACGTACTATCTAATCTGAAAAAATATTAGTAGAGTGAGTATTAGATGTTCATGTAAGAGATGTAAAAATAAAAATTTTCTTAATCCATATATTATAACGATGCATCTTCTACAAAAAAAAAAAGTTTATGGAGAAATACTCATGTTGATATGCACACAAAAAAATCATATGTTTCTCATAATATCATAGTGGAAAAGATGGTTGGGTCAATTTCTAATTCTAAGAACATGCATGAAGTTGTAGATGATAATAGTAATTATTATAAGAATATAGTTATGGATGCAATGAGAATGAATTAGGATCATGTCGCTTAATATTCAATTATAGATGAAGAATCTAATATAGACACAACTGGTTTTTTTTTAAAAAAAAGATTATGATGAATCATTAGGAGATAGTTACACGAATTACAGTAAATTATCAGCTATTGCATAAATGTTCAACATCAAAATAGATCATGAGTTAAGTGAGGCCAATTATGATAAAATTATCAAGTAGGTGAGAAGCATTTTATCTGAAGAGAACAGACTAAAAGAGAACTTCTATGTTGCTAAGTTCATAATGAAACCCCTTGATTTAGGATACCAAAAAATTAACATGTATCTAAACTTCTACATATTATACTACCTTGAAAATAAAGAGTTGATCGAGAGTGAAATACGTGAGCATTCTTGTTATAAACGTATAACTAATAGGGAAATTACTCATGTTGCACATAGAAAACTTAGATACTTCTCAACCATATCTAAATTGCAAAGGTTATTCATGTCACCAAAGATTATTGAGCATATGACATGACACTAATCACATGATGCAAAGGATGAAGTAATGATGCACCTTTTCGATGGTGAAGCCTAGAAACACCTTAACAATGTGCATCTTTATTCAGTGGAGACAAAGAACATGCATCATGTGTTATGTACAGATGGATTCAATCCATTGTGGTTATTTATTGTTCTTTATTTTAATTGGTCAATCATTAGGAGATAGTTACACGAATTACAATAAATTATCAGTTATTGCACAAATGTTCATTGACACGACTAAAAGGTTGATGTCTTCTCCCAAGTATAGGAGTGTCGAAGTAATAAA